CTTGACCTATGGCTGAGAGGAGGTGGAGTGGATGGAAAGCATCTGCCAAATTCCAGTTCAAGGCCCTCCCCTCTAGATGTGCATTGGCTGTCTTGGCAGCAGGAGAGAAGAATCCCTGGCCCTTTTGATGGTGTAGAAGCTGGGATGTGTACGTTGATGGCCATCAGGACAAACAGCTGCTCAAACAGCACTTTCTTCAGTCTGTTTTGCTCCTCCATTCTCCAGTGGTGCTCAAACTACTCCCCTCTTGGCTATCTCACTTTCCTGCCTGCTCTGCTTTTCCCACTCACTTTGGTGCTCCATGTGTGAGTCTGAACTGTGCCCAAAATAGATTAATAGATTCATAGACATTAGGGCTGGAAGGGGCCTTGTGAGATCTTAGGGCCCAGCCCCCTGCCCAAGGGGCAGGAAGTCAGTTGGGGTCAGGTCACCCCAGCAAGGTAAGCATCCAAATGTTTCTTAAAGGTATCCAGGGTAGGTGCTTGCACCACTTCTGGGGGGAGTCTATTCAAGACTCTGGAGACTCGGACAGTAAAGAAGTTTTTCCTTATGTCCAGTCCAAAATGGTCTTCCATCAGTTTATGTCCATTAGACCTTGTCTTCGCTTGGGGTGCCCTGGTGAACAGATATTCTCCCAGTTTCTGATACACACCCCTTATGTACTTATAGGCTGTCACCAGGTCACCCCTGAGCCTGCGCTTCTCCAGGCTGAAGAGTCCCATGCCTCTCAGCCTCTCCTCATAAGGCCTGTTCTCTTGACCTCTAATCATGCACATGGCTCTCCTCTGGACTCTTTCAAGTTTCTCCATATCCTTGATCTTTCTAAAGTGTGGAGCCCAGAATTGGATGCAGTACTCCAGCTGTGGCCTCACCAAAGCCGAGTAAAGCAGGAAGATGACTACTTGGGTCTTGCTTGAGATGTATTGGTAGATGCAAGCCAGAGTTTTATTTGCTTTGCCAGCTGCAGCATTGTATTGGTGGCTCATGTTCATCTTGTGGTCAATCATGACTCCCAGGTCTCTTTTGGTCGTGGTGCTAGTGAGTGTAGTACTGCCAAGCCTATAAACATGATGTGGGCTTTTTCTCTCTCAAGGTGGAGTACCTTGCATTTCTCTGTGGTGAATGCCATCAGGTTTTGATCCATCCACCTTGAGTACCTGGCCAGGTTGGCCTGAATTGCCAGCCTATCCTTTAGCGTGACTGCACTGCCCCATAATTTGGTGTCGACTGCGAACTTAGCCAGTCTGCTTCTGACATCTGAATCCAGATCATTTATGAATATATTAAAGAGTACTGGTCCGAGTACTGAGCCCTGGTCACCATGTGCCATGTTGACTTGGTTCCATTGACTATCACTTTCTGGGTCCAACCATGGAGCCAGTTCTCCACCCATTGGACTATAAGGTTGTCGAGGCCACGGTTCTCCAATTTTACCATGAAGACATCATGGGAGACCAAGTCAAAGGCTTTTCTGAAATCTAAATATATGACATCAACCACTTCTCCTTTGTCCAAGTGATGTGTCACCTGGTCATAGAAGGAAATGAAGTTGGTCAGGCAAGACCTACCTGCAACGAAGCCATGTTGACTATCTCTCAGAACGTTGCCTTCTGCTAGTCTGTTGTTGATGGTTTCTTTGGTTTTTTCCAAGATCCTTCCAGGGACTGAGGTCAAACTGATTGGCCTGTAGTTCCCTGGATCTTCTTTCCTTCCTTTCTTGAAATCACTACATGTTTCATGCAACAGGTAATCTTTGAACTATTTCCTTTGTTCCTACTCATTTCTGGTCATCTCTATTAGAGGTCTACATTGGTGCCATGGTCCAGCAGAGATCCTGTCAATGCAAAAAAAAAAAAAAAGCTTATTCTGTTTTGTTCATAGAAAGAAAGAAAATTATTCTTACCTTTTGCTTTTAGTCTCATGGTAAATGCCATACGGTGAAAGTTTTATCAACTTGCTTTGCCTTTATTTGCTCCTCTATATATTCATGGGTTCAGAAGCTTCTGTGAGCTAGGATACCGGTCCATAGTGGGAATTTTACATTTAATTAATTTAAACAAAAATAAGAACCTTATTGTTAGAGAAAGAATCAGCAGATTAGGAGCATACTACCAGTGTTTGTTTTAGCAAGTTTTCATGTTGCGCAGGAGTTAAAGGATGTTAATTTGTTGATGATCCCTCTTCACTTGAAGAAGGGGCAGTTTTTTCAAGCTGGTAGTGGAAGCTCATCCACCCAAGAGTTTTTCTTGTTACTTGATGACTAATCAAGGAATGGGAAGTCTTGTAAGATTTTGAGCCGGCTATTGGTAATGTGCTTTGCTGAGGAATCTCACTGAGTTCTCTTGAGTTTCTCAGGAGTATGTGTGTGTTTGTGTGTGTGTGTGTGTGTGTGGGGGGGGGGGGGGGGATTAAGAAAATATTAGTAAGTTGTAGGGACTTCCTCTCCACTGTCTGTCCCCCAGTTCTACAGTATAATACAAAGTGAAAGCCAGAAGAGGCCAAGTACATGCACACCAATGGGCCTTAATGCATAAGTCTGCATGAAACAAGTCTGTCTGAGACAATTCTGTATTATTAGTGATTGGGTGATTCTAGATAGCCTACCAAAATGTGACAGAATTTCAAGGTGAGCAGTCTATGCTGAAATACACACTCTTTTAGCTTGCTAAACCTGTCATCCTGGCTTTCCCCCCCCCCTTTTAGCAATCGCTTGAAACTTAGACTGCACCCTTGAGTTGGATAATTTACCTATTCCCCACTTTTGAACCCCATCATAAAAACATAAAAATGACCATTTACTGGGTCAGACCATAGGTCCATCTTGCCCAGTGTCCTGTGTCGCACAGTGGCAGAGAGTGGATGCTGAAAGGGCGAGTGAACTGGGTATGACCCGAGGTGTTTCCACTGTTCCTCTCTGACTTGCAGCCTCCAGATTTCAGGTCTAAGAAGTTCAGGACTCAGAGGTTGTCCCCCTAAGTCCCATGCTCAATAGCTACCGATGCACCTTTCCTCCAAGAATTTGTCCAGTTTTTTTTTTTTACTCTGGCTAAACTGTCAGATCCCACAACACCTTGTGGCAGTGAGTTCCACACTTGAATTATGGGCTCTGTGAAAATGAACTTCCTTTATTTAGTGTTATGCTTGCTACCTACTATTTCAGTTTATGACACCTAGTTCCTATTGTGAGAGAGAATAAATAATAAACCCCAATTGACTTTCTTTTCACCATTTAGTATTTTGTAAACCCTTATCATGTCCCCCCTCAAGCATCTCCTTCCTGAATTGCACAGGCCTGGCCTCTTCAATCTCTCCTTATAGGGAAGCCCCTCCATACCACTAATCATCCTTCTTGCCCTTCTCTGGACCTACTTTAGTTCTTCTATATCCTTTTTGAGATGTGGGGCCCAAAATTGGGCACAGTATTCAAAGTGTGGACATACCATGGATTTATAAATAGGCATAATAATACTTTCTGTCTCTTTCTAATTCTTCCACTTCCTGATTTGGGCATGTGTCACATTTGAATTTGGATAATTCACTTTGCAATGAAACATGGGCCAGTTTGTGTCACACTGGGCCATTGAGGGGGCCCTCTGCAAGGTGGAAGATGGACAGCTGGTCCTACATATATAATCCCATGAAGTTAATGGGGAAGAGGTTTTCAGTCTCTGGTGACATGGTGTTTTTTGTTACTAACAAGTATTTCTTTCATACTCAGTCTCTGGGAGGGCTGCACATCTTTGCACTTTCACCATTTGTTTTTAATATATGTCTAATAAAGATTTTTAAGTAAAAAAAAAATTCTATCTCTTTAGTAGTTTTCATGTTAGGTACATTAAAAAAAATCCTGGCTCCACTGCAGTCTCTGACAAATTCCCAGTGATCTCATTGGAGGCCAGGTATTTGCACATTGTCTATATCTATTAAAACCCCCATCTTTCACCATGGATTTCAGCATATTATTATCCTTTGATGGTCAGTTCCATTCCCTTTGCTTTCTTCTTTAGAGAGAGGTCCCAGTAAAGGAAATATATTTTAAGCATTTCTTTAGTAAGTCAATTTTAACACCTGAAGTCATGTCTATCATAAGGTCCTTTCTGCTGTGGGTTGGAAAGCCAGACAAGGAACACTGTTATTGAAACAAAACAGGAGCCTCGGACTGTAGAGAGAAGTCCTAATCAAGAGATAAGGTCTGTGTTTCACTTTATTCTTAAAAGTAGTCATCAACTTCTTGGTTTTGATTTTTGGCAGATATAAAAAGCCTGGCAGTACCTTTTTCAAGTAGTCTTAAAAACCAGTATGATAAATAGCATTTGGTATTTACTATAGCTGCTACATTTCCTTGAGAAGAATTGCAGAGCAATTCCATCCGGTCATCTCCTGTGTTGAACACGGCAGCTCTTTTGACAGCTCGCTGTCTTGCAACACCATAGGAAAGCGAGCAAACAGGATACAAAATGGAGCCTTGCAATGTAAATTAGATGTGTCAAATATAATGGCTTACCCTGAAGCTGGACTGGCATTTTCTGTAAAAACAAAGCAAACAAAAATGTGACAAAATCACAATAATAGCTCATAGCCTGGCAGCATTAATATTATTTTGATCTTTTTTTTTTCAAATGAAACTTAAATGATCTTTAAATGAGACTGTCAATTTTTTTCTAAGTGCTCATGTGACTGGGAATGGAGTGGTTGAGATTTTCCTGTGATTGCTAATTATCCCATGTGTTGTCCTTAGGCTGGGTACCAAACGTGGTGTTCACACACCTGAAGTCAGCGGCTCATGTTAATGATACGAGGTTAGTCCTAGTGGAGCCTGTTGACTGGCAATCTGGAGATGAAGTCATTGTAAGTGGAACGGGTCCTGGAGATGGGGAATGGCAAGAGGAAATTGTCACCATTGAAGCTGTGAACAACACTGAACTGTACCTTAGATCACCTCTCAGGTATCTTTGGCAAGCTTCAAGGGTATCTTAATAACAGTAGCTAACTGGATGAAATGTTTGAGTAAAGATCTGGAATTACATCTTTTCTAATGAGAAGTAATCATGATATTATACAAGTACTGTTGGACCATGTTCTTAAAGCTGTTGGGGTACCTTTTTCCATTGATTTCCATGTTAAATTTTCCAGCCGTCTTGACATCATCCTTAAATGTGCCTTCCAGGGGTGTCAAGAGAAAGCCAAGAACCAACCTATGACCTATGGACTTTATCATGTCAGTTAAATGGTGTAAAACTACCAAGAAACCTCTACAGGCTCAAGCATAAAACTCCACTCACCCAATAATATGATGACTATGAAAAACTGATGGCCAGGTGTATGTCACATATTTCTGCTGCCTTAATTATATCTCCCGGGCAAGATAGCTTTGATGGTATAAGCCCCTAAACAGACATGCAATCATTCCAGTAAACCTGTACGTTCACCAATATATCATATTTTCCTGCAAGCAATATGCCCTGTTATATAATACACCCACTTGTTTTTGAAAGGCAGAATGAAGAAAAAAAGACCCATCCCCCATAATTATGGCTGAATAGAGCAGAGACAGAACCTAATCTTCAGCTGTGTCACCCTACCTTTCTGGTTTAACTAAAGCTGAAGTCCTAGCTGTTGCTAAAGACTGGCTTCCATGGGTGGATCTATGAAAAGGGCTAAAGAGTTTCCAAGGCAGTGAAATAAAAGAGACATGTATAACAACTACAAAACAGCAACATTGACATAAGAAAGCATGGGTCAGTCAGTGGAATATTAAGACTATTAAAATGGAGAAATGATCATTAACACCTCTGGAATGAAGAACAATGAGCCATTGATTCAGTTGACTCTCTCTGCTGCCTGAATAATAATGCAACAGCTGCTGCACTGTGAGCAGGAGTCAAACAAGGGTGATTCTCACCCAGGCAGAAAATCAGCTTCCCTTCTTAATACACACACCCCAGTTTTGGAAAGTTGATTTTGAGGGATAAGGAGTAAGAAAATAGGGTAGGTTGTTTCGGCCATCGTGGGTGCCCGTACTTTATCTTTACAGAACACTGGTTTTGCCACTATGGCTGCGTCTAGTGTAGGAGCACCTTGCTCGTATAGTTTACTGGTGGTAAAGAGCTCTTTGTATAGACATAGCTTTACACAAAGTCAGTGAGTATAATTTGGGAGGCTGAGCTACTTGTGTTTTATTTCTGGAAAGAATGAGTGACCCCTATATGCTAACGACTATGACTTTCATTATTTCAAAATGAATGAAAACTCAAAAACCAAGACAACATAGATCAACCTCCCTCCTCCCAAAAGCCCCCTAGTGTAATGCAGCTGGGGCCCCCAGGCTGCATCTTCCCATGATGCACCATGTACCAGTGGCTCCTCCCCTTCTCCCCTCCACACACTGTGCAGGCAGCCCCAACCTTAGCCCCCATGCTGCCCCTTCTGGGAAGAAGAACCCGAGCAATAGGGAGAGTGGTGGCTGGGAAGGGGCTGGGAGGGGGGGAGGAGCGGGGCACATTAACCGCTCATGGGGTTCATGTGGCCCACAGGCTGCCAGTCGCATAGCCCTAGCCTAGACCTTGTCCTGTGTTTGCCAGGACTTCGATGAACCAGATATAGGCTTTGGGTTCACAATAAAGAAACCCGGTAGATTCAGAATTCACCACAAAAGATTTTTGTATATAAAACTACTTGAATCTTTTATAAACCAACCCACATCCATCTCCACTCTTCTCCATTTTATATTTCACAGCACCTTGCTACTGTAGTCGAGATATAGAGATGGGCTGAAAAGTAACCTTTGACTCCTAACAAACATGGATTTGGACAATTTTTAATCCAGTTCTGAGTTCTCTAAGCTAAGGGGGAATCAAATAGGAGATGGTTTCTCATGGTATTCAAGCTGTATCTTCCACTGTATCTTTAACAGGTTCCCCCATGGGTTTGAGGAGGAACAGATGGGCGGGCAGCACCTTTCTTTGAGTGCTGTTGTGGCGCTGCTGAGCAGAAGGATTGTTGTCCAAGGAAACGTGACCGGTGAGAGGATGTCCCACCTTCGGTTGTGTGCAGCAGCAGGTGTTTCAGGAGGTGGGAAGGCTCTTTTAACAAAATTTTGGAAATAAGTAAATAAAGGCTTCATTGTTCCCCTGAAATGACATGGTCGTATCCTTGTGTTAGGCAATCCTTCTTAACACAAAAACCCTGAAGTACCTCAATGCCAGAAAAGTGAATGTATCTTTCCAGATGTTGTTTGACATTGAAATATGAAGTCCTGGGATTCGGACTGAGTTTGCTTGTTGTATCTTGGATGTATTATTCATGCACTGTTGTTTCAAGCCATCTTGGGACAAGTCCCCTTCACCCCCACTTATTTTCCCCCAAAGTATATGGGTTTAAGAAAGAGACTATCCTTTGAAAATAATGTTATCAGCATACATATATTAATTTTTAAACTCTGTTTATTATTTAGCAACTCAAAGATTAAAAACCAATGTTTTCTGTGCTCTTGAGGGTAAAATATCAGGATTCTGCTTAAAAGGGGGGGGAAAAGAACAAAATAAAAAGAGTGATAGCTCTTCAAAGCATTCAGAAAACCTAATAAAATAAGGTCAGTTGGTCCAGTTCTCCTTTCTCTTTCTTTGGCTTTACACCAGTTTAATACCACTGTATTTCAGCAGAGGTGTTCCTGATTTATACCATGTTAAAAGAAGGTGGGGACAGACTCACTGACTGCAATGCGGAGAGAGGCAGGCCTGGCGGTTGCTCTGTCATTATGCTTCCTTTAAAAACCAAACGCTTCATGCTTTCAAATTTCAACATTAGACGTCAGCTGATGTCCAGCAGCTAACTGCTTGTTGTGCACTATGGATTGGCAGTCCACCTCATGTGGAGCCTGTAAATATAGTTTCTGAAATGTCCGTGTTGAAAACAATAGAGCTGGATTTATCAGAGGAAGAATGGGAGGAAGAGTTGAGTTGGATTTGGGGTTGTTATTTTTCTTTCCAAAAAAAGAAAAAAAAATACCGTTCCTGAAAATAACCAGGCAGTATTAGAGATTGAAATTCTTCCTGTATAGCCAATGAGTGGGTACAGCTTTGGCCTTTAAAAGTACACACCTTTAGTTGCTGCCCACCAGCATGCCTTAAGCAGACCCAGAGGAACCGTTTTGAGGGGCAAGAGGATCATTCACACCTAGTGCCCATTCAAATCTTCAATCAGCACACCTGGCACCCAACCGTGACTCCATCTCTAGCATCAGACAACTTGGCAGCTCACCTCTGTGTCTCCTTTTCCTCACTTTTGAACTGGAGATGGTAATACTAATCTACCCTCCTCCGAGAGATACTGTGAAAAACTAAAGTTCCCGAGGACTTCTGAAGCATTCTCATTGCAGCGTAATTCAAGCACTTCCATGCCCAATCGCCTTTTCACGATTCTGACCCAAGCTAAATGGGTGTCAAATCCATCTTTCCCAGGCACAAGCCTATTTAAAACTGAACAGAGGGAACTTTTCCGAGCATAAAATGACCAAGCTTCC